CTCTCTCTTTCTCTCTCTCTCTCTCTCTCTCTCTCTCTCTCTCTCTCTCTCTTTCATTTTTTCTAAAACAAATAAATAAGCAAACATAATCATGGATGGTATGAGCTCTTTCCACTTTGGGAAGAACATAGATGTTATATAATATGTTTTAAGAAATCATGTAAATAATGAAGAAACACACTTGAAAATGTACCCAAATTTTAATAGGAGACATGACTGGGCTATAGGATTTCAAGTGATTCTTTCCTTCACTTTGTTATAATTGTTTTTTTTTTCCTTTTTAAGTTTTCTAAAACTGAAACATTTTATAATCTTTTTTTAAAAGATCATACACAATAAAAAGTTTTCCCTTTGATGTTTCCAGTATCCACCTGGAATCATTAGTAGTTATTACAATTCTATTGACTATATTTCCTATAATTTACATCCTCCCAGACTATTTTGTAACTACCAATTTCTACTTCTTAAATCCTTAAACTTTTTTTACCCCGTCTCCCAAACTCCCTCTCCTTTGGCAAACAACTGTCGGTTCTGTGTCTACAAGTCTGTTCCAGTTTCATTTTTTTTTTTTATTTTGTTCTTTAGATTCCACACGTAAGTGGAATGGGGTACTTGACTTTTTCTAACTAACTTATTTCACATATAAGTCCATCCGTGTTGTAGCAAATGGTAAGATTTCATTCTTTTTTATGGTCAGAGCTCTTTGTATATACCAGAGCAGTTTTATCCACTTGTCTATTGATGGGCACTTGGATTGTTTCCATATCTTGACTTTTGTAAATAATGCTGCAATAAACATAGAGGTGCATACATTTCAAATTAGTGTTTTGGATTTCCTTGGATATATTTCCAGAAGTAGAAATGCTGGGTCATAAGGCAGAGTTCCGTTTTAATTTTTTGAGAACCCTTCACACCGTTTTCCACAGTGTGCCCCAGTCTGCATTCCCACCAACAGTGCAGGAGGGTTCCCTTTGCTCCACTTGTTGTTTGTAGATTTATTGATGATAGCCATTCTAACTGGTGTGAAATATTTCATCGTAATTTTAATTTCCATTTCTCTAACAATTACTGATGTTAAGCACCAATTCATATGCCTATTGGTCTCCTGTGTGTCCTCTTCGGAGAAGTGTCTCCTCAGGTTTTTGGACATGTTCAGTTATATGTCGCTTTTGGTCATGTTCAGTTATCTGTTGCTTTCTCTCGAGTTTGTAGATCATGTGATGTTAAAGTTGTAAATACTTCATCACAAGGGAAATTAGTTAAGCACTCTGAAAGTAGTATGCAAGGAGATATTAGAATAAGTTTAATCAATTTATCAGTCATTGTTTTTATATCATGTATTTGTTGTTGTTATATTATGTTGTTATTTTTTATAATTAATTTCCCTTCATCATTCATGAATCTGTGCACCAGGCCACTAGTAAATAAATAATCAACCAATAAAAACCCCAGCACTTAGCTTGTATCTCTTATTACATACCAATATTATCTAATGTAAATAATGCTATCTATGGCTTAACCATTTTGAAATATGGTATTTTTCTTCTCAAACATGGATTGTGCTCCTAGGACTTCCACTTGATAATCTGTAAGGACAAGGACTGTGATCTGCTACAAGAGGAGTTTCCCACAGGTGACCTGCACAGGGGGAAAGCCTGACCTTACCCAAGTTGAGGTGAAGGGCGAGCCTCCCTTTCTGGAGCTCCAGCGTGATGTAGTCTCCACGCTGACCTTCTCCATGGAACAGGACCCCATCCCCTTGGATGCTCTTGAACTTCAGAGAGATCACGTCTTTGAGGGTGCTCAGCAGCTTCTGATTGAACCTGTACAGCAGGGAGCTCCTGCCATCAAAGTCAGCAACATCGGATTCTGGGCACAAAGAGAGAGAAGGAGAAAAATCAATGCAGATTCTCTCAACTGCCAGTTCTGTTTCCCAGCTTAGTTGTTGTCCATTTTACAGGCATGTTTCGGCATCTGGAAAGACCTGTTGTTTGAAGGGGAAGAATATCGACTAGACCCACCCTAATTAGACTCAGGGGAATAATTCATGAACGGGCAACCACCACACACTGTGTTAAAATGAACTGATCATCAGTCTAGAAGCATAACCTCTCATTAGTGATATGTCAGTTTTGTTGAGGGAACAGGATGAGAATACCACAAGTACCTAGATCAGGATCTGCTGTGTCAGATGTTGCTTTGCAATAATACCTCCTGATTTGTCTTCCTTATTTCTTTGCTTGATAATCAGAGCTGCTTGATCCCTTTCTCTCAGGCTCAACGTTAGAGGTGAAAATATAGACTATTATTCAACTCTGACCAAATAGTACTGTAGTCTAAGAACCCTGTGTTGGGAAGGATTCTAAGATTTTTATTTGGTTTTGGTAGAAAAGAATATGCAGTAAGGAAGACTTTGCTATTTGGAAACAGGGCAAATATATTGCATCCTTACCATCCCTGGCTCTGTCTTGTGCAGGTGATAGCTATAATTTTAGTCTTTATATACAAGAATGTTTATTTATGATTGCTAAAAAAAGGAGATCAAGTAATTGTAATTTAGATACACTTATATAATGGGTGTGTGTAAACATATCTAAAAAGTGTATGCCAAAAAGTTAATAGGGATTTTCACCTCATTAAGGAATATATACAGATGGCAAATAAGTATATGAAAAGATGCTCCATATCATATGTCATCAGGGAAATAGAAATTAGATCAACAATGAGATATCACTGCACACCTATCAGAATGACTTAACTCTGAAGCACTGACAATACCAAATGTTAGTGGGGGTATGGAATAACAGGTTGGAAGTTTCTTACAAATCTAAATATACTCTTACCATCCTATCCAACAATCACATTCCTCTGTATTTATCAAAATAAGTTAAAAATTACGAATGCACAAAAATCTGCATGCAAATGTTTAAAGCAGCTTTATTTATAATTTTCAAAATTTGGAAGCAACCAAGATGTTCTTCAGTAGGTGAGTCAATAAACTGTGATATATCCAGACAATAGAATATTATTTACTGCTGAAAAGAAATGAACTACTAAGCTGCAAGAAGATTTGGAAGAAAATAAAGTGTATATTACAAAGTGAAAGAAGCTGATCTGATAAGGTTACACACTGTGAGATTTCAACTATATGGCAAACATAGAGGATAGTAAAAAGATCAGTGTTTGCCACAGATTGTGGAGGAAGTATGAAGAGGCAAAACAGATGATTTTTAGGGCAGTGAAAATATTCTGCATTATACCATAATGATGGATACATGTCATTATATTTATACAAAACCACAGAATGCACAACACCATGTGTGAGCAGTAAAGCAAATCGTAGATTTTGAGTAATTATGATGTACCATTTAAGTTCAGCAGTTGTAATAAATGCAGTATTTCTGTTGAGGGGGTGCCATGCATGTTTGGGGAAAGTGGGATATAAAAAACTCTAAATTTTTGTGTGAATCTAAAACTTCTTTAAAAATAAGTGTTTTTAAAAAGTTAGTAGGAACTCAATTTGGGAGGTGTTATTAAAATTATTTTACATTATATTTTATTTTTATTATAAAAAACTTCATAATAAATTTTATTACTTTTATAGTAGAAAAAGAAGGCTAATTATAATTTTAAACAGATTCATTATATACTATTTTCTGCGGATGAAATGATGGTGAATGGGTATTTGGTGGGGGTGGGTTTAGTCATATTTGAAATAAGCTACTCAAAAATACTCATTTTTTATTATTTACCGAGAAATTATAATTCACAGCTTGAGTATACACAATGATACATTAAGGAAGTTTTTTGACCAATAACCTAAAAATATTGTTTGTAAAACTGAAGTTCTGAAATGAAAATAAACATAAATCATACTTTATTGTAATCAGTTTTAAAATACAAATTTATAAGTTATTCCTCAGGAGTAAAGTGTTTTTAACCAAAAGTTTGCTGATGACTGTTCAGGCCCTAAAAATAAATTGTCCAGATATAGAGAGATTTTTATAGAACCCCAGTTCTTTCAGACCCTCCCACACCACCCCAGCAGTGGCCTGGCTCTGTCCCAAATACAGTAGCCACGGCTTGTTAGCTGGGTCACCTCGGGACATGCTACCTCTCTAAGGCTTGATTTTATAAAGTGGGGAAATATATATTCTTCAGAGAAGACTGTTATGAGAATTAATGTGAAAATACATATAAAGTGATAGTATGCATAAATTGATGCCATTGTGTCTGGCACATTATTTGTGGTAAACTAACTATAGAAGGAGGATTATAGTGATTGGTATAACTAGAGGGATTGAGTTCCTACCCAGTCCATTTTAGTGGCAGACACTCTACCTCCTCATGAGAAATGACTCTAATTTTTGTTTTTTGTTTTTATTCAATGGTTTACTGCCCAGGGAATGTTCAGTTAGCCTCAACTTTCCTATCCCACCACATTTTAATTTAAATTCTTCATCTGTGCATGGTGTGTGCATTGTGTCTGAGTGCTTTCTTCTGATTGCTTCTCATCTTCCACTGCACCAGATTCTGGGTCTGGAACGAGGTCCTTAGGAGATATAGTGGACAGGACATGCAATGTGTGGACAGTGATGCTGAGATGTCCTGTTATAAAATAGAGAGGAGCACCAGTGCTATGGGAACACATTCAAACACTGCCTATGAAGTGGGACAAGTGCCTCCATGAATAGACATAGAATTTGTTGCTACTTAAAAGACACACCTGTGGCATGGTTGGAGCCCAGGGAGCCAGGGGAGGGTTGCTGACACAGCCCTGGGCCCCAAGTTGCTAACAAACCCACTTTAGAGGGCAGATTGGCCCCTCCTGCTTGCAGCCAATTCCTGTGGAGACAGACGCAAACCATGGATCACTTGTAGCTTCTAGAAGGCCGTTAAAGCCAAAGGAGGACGGTTTCTGACAGGGCACCTCCACAACAGCTCACACAATGTGGTTGGGAGTGAGCCACATAGTCAGCCAGCCTGAGAGGTGATTATCCATCCTCCAACGGGACAATTATATTCAAGACCCAACTACAACAGGAAAACCCACATAAACCAAGAAAGGGGCTTTCCCAGGTCACCCTGCTCATTTAATGTTTGACAAAGAGGCAAGAGCAATTATTCTCATTTAATGTTTGACAAAGAGGCAAGGGCATGCTATGGAGTAAGGACAGTATTTCAATAAATGGCATTGGGATAATTGGAAAGGTATATGCAAAAAAATGTAACGAGACCACCAACTTATACCATATACAAGAATAAACTCAAAATAGATAAAAGACTAAAATGTAAGTTATAAAATGATAAAAATCTTAAAACTATCCATAGGCAGAAAAATCTGAGACATCTCTCATATCAATTTATTCACTAATACATCTCCTTTGGCAAAGGAAACTAAGGAGAAAATTTTTTAAAAAAATGGGACTATATCAAAATAAAAAGCTTCTGCAAGTAAAAGAAAACAGCAACAAAATGAAAAGAGCCCACTGCAAGGAAGAACATATTTGCCAATGATAAATCCAATAAGGGGTTAATTTACAAAATATACAAGGAACTCATATAACTTAACAAAAGGAAGACAAGGTATACAATGAAAAAATGGGGAAAGGATCTAAATAGACACTTCTATTAAGTGGAAATACAGAGGGCCAAAAGACATGAATAAAGTGCTTAAAGTCACTAATCACCAGAGAGATGAAAATTAAAATGACAGTGAGGTATCACCTCACACCTGTCAGAATGGCTAACAAAGCGAAATAGACAAGTCAATATCTCTATTCAAAATTAGCTTTAGTAAAAAAAAAAAAAAAAAAAAAAAAAGGATTTCTGGCCTTTTGAGACAGCATAGAAGGACTGGAGAATATTATGCTGAGTGAAATAAGCCAGCCAGAGAAAGACAAATATCATCTGATCTCACTTATTTGTGGAATCTAATGAACAAAATAAACTGATGAACAAAATATAACCAGAGACATAAAAGCATGAAACAAATGCATGGTGAATTTAAGAGTAAAGATGGGAGTGGGTGGGTGGGTGAAAGGGGAGAGATTCAATAGGGACCTTACATACATATATGCACAACCCATGGACACAGAGAGTAATGTGGTGAAAGCCTGGGAAGGACAGGGGCTTGGAGCATGCCATAGGGACAATATAAAGAACATGGTATGAAGAAATTCTGTTAGAGTATGGAGTTCATATCCTTCATGTCACACTGAGCAGGCATGCATTCAAGCCCTCATCATCACCTTCCATATCTAAGTTAATAAAAGCCTCAGTGGCCCTTACATTCCATGTCATCACAAGATGGCCGCCACAAGGTGACCTCCCAAAGGTGGCCACCACAAGATGACCACATGTACAGCGAAGGCAGGACCCAGAGGCTACTCCATGCAGTGAGGCCTGGGGGTTCCGCAGCTCCATACAGCATGGAGGAGGCTGGTCCCGGCATCTTCACCACCTTGCACAGAGGAGGCTGGTCCTGGAGGAGGAGGTGGGTCGCGACAGGGGAGGCAGTTGGGGGCAAACAGGCCAGTAAGGGAGGGCAATTGGGGGCAATCAGGCTGGCAGGCAGAAGCGGTTAGGGACAATCAGGCAGGCAGGAGCCAGTGGTCCCGAATTGTGAGAGGGGTATAGGACTGCCGGTTTAGGCAGTTGGACATCCCCCGAGGGGTCCCAGATTGGAGAGGGTGCAGGCCTGACTGAGGGACACTCCCTACCCCATCCACACATTTCGTGCACCGGGCCTCTAGTTCTTAAATAACCTCCTAACCATCCTCTCTGGTTCAACTTTCATCACCTGCCCCTGTCCCATTCTAACATTTTCATAAAACAAGTTACATCACACATAACCTTTGCTAAAGCCT